AATCAAAATGAAAAAGTTATGAACAGGAAAGAAAATACATTCCCTTGCCTGCCATCTCCCATAATCGAATACCGAAATAAAGTGCACTACAGTATGGTATCATATTGCAAAGTTGGTAGACATACTTCGACTAGTCCTCAGCGGTGAGGACTTGACAAGTACATAGGTGACCACCCAGAGACGAAATCGTACACTCAGTATAACTCAGTAATAATAGGGTGTCTGACTTCATCATTACATGACGCGGAGGATTAAAACTTCCAAAGTAACATGAGATTTATCATGATTGCAGACACAGATTTTTCATAAGTACCAACAAAGATGAGGCTACAAACAAGAAGCAGATCTCCTATGTAGCAACTTACATTCCAATATACTGTACATAATGTAGTCCACCTCACTCAATCTGCATGACTTTAACTACCAGCAATAAAATATTAGATTTCAAAGAATGCACAGCTTTGCATTGTACTCTCTGGAGAGGATCACTGGAAGACTGATGTTTCTTCTGGAGTAAGGACTTGGACAGCAACCACACTTCGAGTTGAGAGCACGTATATGTGCGGCTAAACGGATGTAGAACAATTGCAGCAACACCACCATCCCGAGAGCAACTCAACGACAAGAATACCAAGACCGATTTCAGTCAGGAACTGACCAAACATTTAGTGAAACAGAACAACGTCATTCATCTCGAAAATGCCTGACACCATCTTAAGTCTGCTGTAGAAACAGCATTATAAGCCGTAACCAACTCTCCAAGAGATGTTAGAAAGGACCAATGAGTTTCAGCAGCTTTCTCTGAAATGACACGTTACTACAGGCTCCGAACAAAATGAGGAGAGGAAGTAACTGAAATACAGACTGGTGAGAATTCCACACAACAACCGTGAACAGTGGTGATAGGCAGGGAAACTGAGTCAAAAAGTGTCAGTAGTTAGTGAGATTATAATTCAGAAGGATGACTGTGCGGTTCACTAGTAGGGGGGACAGTTGGAACGATGGACGGAATAATTCGAGGAGTAGTTCAAATGATAGTTTTTCGTCACCTGCCATCCAGTGGAATCCCCAATGGGACATTGAAATACAGCTCAAACTGTTGGCGAAGTTGAGAAGTGTTGCAGAAGGTGTGTAAGGACGGTGGTCAAGGCTTATTGGTCCGATGAACTAAGGTGTAAGCTAGTGTATGGAAAACAGACATAATCCTCCCTGACTAGTCTGAATCACTGATTTTCCCAGTCTTTAAAACACAGAGAAATCGACCAGTGGTAATGACAGGGAAATCAGTTTAACGATCATAGTGTCTACAATTCCTGGTTCGATAGTCATAAGACGCCTAAGTGAAGCTCACGAGGTGAAAACCGGCAAGGTTTCAAACCTGTTCGTGTGTTTATTGATCAGATATCCATCCTCCACCAGGTCCTGGAACATAGATACACTTACCCGCACTCGACACCAGCCAGAGGGAATCATATTTGACTCCCATACACTAGTTAACACTTCAGTTAACTTGACTAAAACACTCCACTACCGACCTTGTATACCTCAGGAACTAGTCTATCTGGTCCTGCTGCCCTTCCTCGCTTCAAGTTACATACCCCTTTTCTACTTCTGGAAGTGTTGGGAGGCCTATCTCAATATTCCATTCACGATTCGACTGGTTAGTAGGAAACACAATGGTAGCTGGAAGGCAGCTGAAGTGTTTCCTCGAAGTCTCCTCCTCATCCTTCCAGTTGTCCCCCCTGCAAGTGAACTGCGGACCCATCATTCTCCGCTATAGTCTTGCTAACCATTCACCTTTTCGCCCCAGTTTCCTTGGTAAATCTAAATAACTGTCTATTGTTACGTATCCCCACTGCGTTTTCCATCTCTTCAGCCTTCGCTGTCCACCACTGTTTGCAGTCATTGCGTAGACTTTATTTGCTTTCTCTCCTCATTGTACTCAGGGCCTGTAGTGATGAGTTCGCGTACTCAAAAGAAGCTACTGATATCCACTTGCTATTCTTAACCACTATTTGAGAGTCGGCTACAGTCTTCAGCGATGGAGATGGCACCAAGCTTCTTCTGGATGAGCAATAGTGTTTCGTTCCGACAACTGCCTAACCTGTGCCCTTAGTGCTCTCGTTGTCCAGCTGCATTCGTTATGATGTAGTTGCGAAAGTTTTTCTACGTCCACTGAGACACAGATATATACACCCTCGAACCAACTAGTGGTCGCTATCCAAACACGTGCTCCAGAAGGAGCGGAAGTCTCCCACCGAACCTCTCCGGCAGTGACCGGTAGCAATGTGGGTTGTGTCCAACACTGAGTTGAATTCGGTGGACACCACGTCACACAATCTCTCTTTATGTCTGAAGTTTGTGCTGGCTAGAAATAAACGGTTATCTGAGCACAGCTGTAGCAAGTGGTCGCCGTTACGCGTTCTTACAGCTAAGATTCTAAAAGTGTCACCTAAGCACCTGTCTGACTGAGCCTACCCACTTGTGCATTGAAATCGCTTGCAACAACAACCACATCTGAAAGTTTAGCGTCCAGGAGACTTGAAAGTCTCGGTGGAACTCATCCTTCCCTTCATCCAAACTGTAGTCAATGCGTGCGTAAGCAGAGATTTCAAAGAGACAACAGCTAATTTCACTGTTCCCCCTAGTTCTCACTGTGCCGTTCAGCTGGATATCGCCTATCATCAATCATCTTCATAATGTGTTTTCAAGATATAACGGGTCAATTCCACTTTGGCATGTTTGATAAAACAGCGTCCAGAAGTCTCAGGTTCCAAACAAGTTAAACTACTATACAAGTGAGATATAATGAAAGGTTGTGACGGGTGAGGCCAACTAAATCGAAAGTGAGGACAGTTACTCAACGACGCGACTTGATCGAAGTCACTCTATATCGTGAACTGACAGAAAGAAGTAGGAAATATAGAGCACCGAATTTAAACGCAGTGGCTCAATGGTTACATGCTGGCCGCAGGACCCGAAGGTTCTGGTTTTGATTCCCCCCCCCCCGGCGCCATAGGCACACACTGCTGAGAAGTCCTGTATTAGGACGAGGCAGCTTCCCACGGCTCCAAGGTGTCCTACGTTTCGCCAACTGATGTCTGTTCATGATGTGAACATCAACCCGAAATCAACATATAAATCTCCCCAGAACTCCGAATTGAATAAGTGAGATATCAATGTAAAGGCATGAGTATAAAAACGTTTCTTTCTTCTGTAAGAGAAGTATCAACCATAATGAAACCTTTTTTATATTCCCTTCTAATTCTACAACACCACTAGCTAACAGGACTGTTTCGCTAGCAACTTACATTTTAAAATGTACTACTTAGCATTCTGCACTCGTCAGCAACAGACATAGGAAATTGAGATGGCACCCGATAACAACTGCGTAACGGTATAAGTTGCCATACTTTATATAGCAGCATAATCAAGCGAGAATTCACTAAAATGGAAGACTAAGAAAGAAGGCTATCAAAAGTGACAGAAATTCATCAAGGAGAAATAAGAGAATGTTGAAGTAATAACACGACATATGTAAAAGTTCATTACAAATATATATCCAATATACTGGAATTCAGTTTGACAACTAAAATGAGGGTACAGACACCTGTGTCGATGTCCGCACTTATCACTAATGAATAACACACATTATTACGTTGCTGTTCTTCAATGGCTTAGCTGACATACGACCACATATATTTCCAACAAACATAACTGGTCCCATCCACAGCAAACAAATCAAGCTATCTTTGATCTACCTGACCTGACCTGACCTAAAATCCAAAAGTACGATTATCCAGTCGACCAAGACAGCAAATCATTTAAACTTACAGACCACGTTCAATGAACCGCCATACTCATTCAAGCTTTCTGAGTGAACAAGAAAAAAGGTACGAACGACTCGCAAAAGTTATATATTCAGAGGCTAAACGCATATCAGTACCACGTAAGGAGACACATCTTATAATACACATACCGATATTGTCTATCTCATACCACCTATACATTTAGGTAAATTGTTGACTGTACCCTAAAATAAACCTATGACTTCTACGACAATTAACCACGAACTGTAACCCTGAAGTTTAAAGACAATATATGCAAAAACTGGAAAAACACGTCCTTGTAGTAACACGATAGTAAACTCCATGAAGGAGTACAACTAAAGCTGGTGTCCATAGTTTACTAACGGGACTCCTCAATCCGTCACCATTGATAACGCTAACCTGTGTGCACCGACCCCAATGTGCGTACAAGCCAATTCACATCTATGCAAGACCAACTGACAGAACTGCGAACGCCATACAGAACAGACCTCAACTAAGTGTCACGGAAATAAACAAAATTAGCTGAGCCCTCCATTCTACAAAATCCAGCGACACCCATGACACTCGGCAAGGCAACCAGTGAGATCCCCTTTTAAAGTCTACTGACCTGACCTGACCTGGACTCCTAGGCTGGACGTCACCACAGAAACTAATGATGAACATGGAACACCAGTAGGGTTAACAACCAAGTCCCAACCTCAACCATCATCTTAGAATGAGTTTACAATTAGAAATCAGGAGGAGAAACAGTGCAGTGAAAAACGAGGAGACTGAAACCCTCCCACTGTACTAAACATGACCTATTGATATAAAAAGACTCAAATCAAGTAGGGAACTTCGATCGTCTAACCTTGTCGTCCCATGGGTAGAATCAACATACGCATAGGCCGTAAACGCATTCCATTGTGAAACAGCGATCACAAGCTGCTGTAACCTACTTAGTTCAACAAGAAAATCCCATCGAATAGTACCACGTAACACGTCTACTCAACAAACACACATGAACGCGAGAAAACAGGTTCATGACTAGCACTAAAAACCTATACGCCTGATGCACACCAGCGCGAACAGTCTCTTAAACTGAAAGCAAACACAAGCCTCTGTTACAGAACCTAACCAAATTAAAAAGACAGTGGTAAAAAATCAAGATCTATTCAGAACAAACATGGATTAAAAGCACTTGCGATGAACAATACCAGGACCGGACTCATCATACTCTTGTTTGGAAATCCACATCTGTTGGAAAGTCGACAAGGAAGCCAAAATAGAACCACCAATCCATACTGAGTACTTACGTTCAGGAGGTGCAACAATTTTAATCTTCATGGTGCTGGGTGCAAGAGCACCTATCTCCTTCTGCATACGATCAGCAATACCGGGATACATTGTACTACCACCGGACAATACGGTATTCGCATATAAATCTTTACGGATATCCACATCACACTTCATGATAGAATTGTAAGTAGTCTCGTGAATCCCAGCTGACTCCATGCCCAGGAAGCTAGGCTGGAACAAAGCTTCAGGACAACGGAAGCGTTCATTACCAATGGTAATGACCTGACCATCAGGAAGCTCATAACTTTTCTCCAAAGAAGAGCTGGAAGCAGCTGTAGCCATTTCCTGTTCGAAGTCTAGAGCAACATAACAAAGCTTCTCTTTGATATCACGGACAATTTCACGTTCAGCAGTTGTCGTAAAACTGTAACCCCTCTCAGTCAAAATCTTCATTAGGTGGTCGGTAAGATCTCTTCCAGCAAGATCTAGACGTAGAATAGCATGAGGCAATGCATAACCCTCATATATGGGTACAGTGTGAGTAACACCATCACCAGAGTCCAACACAATACCAGTAGTACGACCAGAAGCATACAAGGACAACACTGCCTGAATAGCCACATACATCGCGGGAGCGTTAAACGTCTCAAACATAATTGGGTCATCTTCTCACGGTTGGCCTTTGGGTTCAATGGAGCCTCTGTCAGCAATACTGGGTGTTCCTCTGGAGCAACTCTCAACTCGTTGTAAAAAGTGTGGTGCCAGATCTTCTCCATATCGTCCCAGTTCGTCACAATACCATGCTCGATCGGGTACTTTAGAGTCAAGATACCACGTTTCGACTGAGCTTCGTCTCCAACATAACTGTCTTTCTGGCCCATTCCAACCATTACTCCTTGGTGTCTGGGCCTGCCGACGATGGAAGGGAACACGGCTCTAGGTGCATCATCTCCTGCGAACCCGGCTTTGCACATTCCAGATCCATTATCGATGACAAGGGCCGCAACTTCCTCATCAACCATTTCTCAGTCAACGTGAAAACTAACAAGGCTTTTAGCCTAATTAATATAACTTGCTTAATGGCCATATATGGTCATGCCTATAGATTTCAAATTGACCAATCAACAAGTAGTTTGCTCAGTCGATGTCCCTTAGGATACAGACAACTATGTCACGTCTTTTATTAACTTACCTCTATGTCATTGGTCGTCCAAGTATTGTCAATTTTTAAGCTTCGATTGAGTCATCTGACTTCATCTAGCTTTCTAGAGGGATAGAAAATTTGTGTGAGCTGCATTAACTGTCGTGTTAACTGATTTTGTCCCAATTTGATTGGCTAATCACAACAGTCACTCGATTGATATTTGAAATTGATTGAGACAGACAGTGTGTTTCGCCTTGTAGTAAATAAGCTAGACTACCAGTCTGGGAACTACGATTTTTTTAATTTTTGCAGGCTGCTTGATTAATTTATTGAGCTGGTTAGCTTTTGTGAATGTGACAGATCTATAAATTGTGTGTGTAATTCCGCCGCTGACTATTTAGACATTAAACATGCTTAATTTGAACAAACGCTTACTCAAAAGATCCTTTTAGGCAGTATGACTCCAAACAGATTAAAGGCAACAATTTGTGAACGAGAATTTTAGAAAAAAGTAGATTTCACCGAAAACTAGGACCTGAGGAATTCAATGGCACTTTATGCCTTTGAATTTTGGTTGTTATTTAGCTAGTTTCAGGCCTTTCCACATTGTTAAGTAGTGTATTTCGAAAACATCAATTTTCTTATGCACATTGCCGATAATTTTAGATCCCAGCTGACAACTTGTCAAGTTATCTCTCTTTTTGATACTTTGATTTCTAAGTCAGTATTCATCATGGACTAACATCAGTTTCTGTTAAAATGTGGTAAAGATTTATGAGAATAATGAGGAAGACAAAGAAAACTCATTTTTATCCGCTAGTGTAATTTTGCTGCTCAAAATGCTGTTGTTTTTGAATGAGTTAATACAGATAAGAAGCCATATCAGCAACAATGCAGTCACATTTGTCTATCATTTCCGCTAACAGTATCAGTGAGGCTACTAGTATTGCATAAGAGACGGATCAACTGACTCACTAGCTTAGTGGATAGCGCTCTGGTGCTTGAAGTCATAGGCACCGGGTCCGAGTCTCGGTGGGAACATCATTACTCACTAGGGTTAAGGGTAGGATGTAACCCTCATTCTTGATCCCAGTGATACCCGCCACCAATCAGTTTATAGTGCATAGGCTTGGATTTACATCTTTTAACAGAATGGTTCATTTACACTGGTGATTGGTGTCCATGCACGAACTCGACAGACGCAGAAGCCATTCACTGATTATTCGTACTTCTAATATACCTACGAATATGAGACTGAGGAAGAACACAATGGGGTAGTCAGATGAAGTAGTATGTTTGCGAGGTCATACCGAAATACGGATGCGTTCCAACTAGCTGGCTTGAGAGTCGATTACGAGGAGTACAACGTAACGCGAAGGCGTGCCAAATGGTGTGGATGCTTGGTAGTGGCCATTCAGTCTAGCGAGTCCCATAAAACTATGAAGGTCAGCATCAATGTTGAATCTCGTCGAACCCTTGGCTATCGATTCTGGAGAAATATGTTAATGGAATGAACAATTGATCATTCTGAAATAACTGTGTCAATTATAGATAAGCACTCTTAAAATGTATGTTGGTTGGTTGTGCGCCATTGCCAGAAAGCCCTAGACCTAGCTTTCGTGCTTCCTGGCACTCATCAGCAAGGCGTATCTACGACCTGAATTTCCATCCAGGATTCTAACTTGCGGCACCCAGTGTTGTAGTCAGTGACGTAACCACCGAGCTACCCGGGCCGTGACTGACCTTCTGTGGGACTGGATTACAGACAGTGATAAGTCATTGGAGAGCAAGTAATTTCATGTTGACTAGCCCTAAGTACTGACCGGAAATGCCGAAAGAACTTATTGCAGTGAATACCGAAATGGTTGCATATTGATTACACACTGAGGTAAGCGTATTCACCCCTATTCAACTTATTAAGTTTCAAGGTTTTAATCCACCTTCCTTGAGCTATGTTTTCTTTTCTTACACCTTCATTTTTTTCATCTGTTTTGACTCATCTTTCTGTTCATCTACCAACTACTCACGTTTATAGGAGTACTGAAATATTCAACTCCTTAAAACTTACTAAACAGTCCTGACTGGACAACCAGTGTGAGTACGATCAAGCTGTAGTAATGCGTCACGAATTCACATGGTTGTCGGGCAAAAAAAATCCCTAGTGATTGAAGTGAAGCAAAAGTCCAGTCATCAATTGGTTCTTGTAGGTCAGTTGGTAGAGCATCGGGCTGGAAACCCGGTGGTCAATGGCTCAAATCTGGCCACGGTTCAAATTACCATTTCACCTTCAATCTTCATACAGTACACAGTCAAAGACATTTTAAAGACGTGAGGAAAGAAAGGTATCTGTTATCTAAGAAGAATAAGTTTACGACGTACTAAACACGTTTATGTTTAATTACTTTCATGCAAATTGAATGAGATTAAAACAGAAATTACTGGATAATCATCGGATTCAAATAACCGGTATGTATATGTCAAAATACTCTAACTGATGTCCTATGAACTTCAATAGTTGTTTATCAGAAAAAGAAGTGCCTAGTGAGACATTGAAGTTTATCTGAGTAATAAAGTACAACCTCCAAGAGAAGCAGACAACTAGCTCTGGTTGCTACTCTCCAGTGTGATAGCATAATGACAATAGTAATGTAACTCATTCTGGTGCATTTCTATGTAGTTGGCTAGGAGCCACACGTGCTATGTGCAGGTTTGTGACACCAGGCTATAGTAGGTGAACTGGGCTTCGAACTTATGATCCATCGCTTGAAAGTCAAGTTCCTAAGCCAACTAGTCGCACCCTTCCCTAATGACTAACTATTTTTTCTGATACAGTAATGAGGTATCTTACCACAGCACTAGTTGATGTGAGTTCACATCTTCAAACAGGTATCGGTGACGAAAAGATAACGAATAAGGTAGCAGGAGTGGCCCTTAGTTTGCTGAAGGCCAAGGGAGAAGTAACGCTTGGACATATTCCTCCTGAATGCAGAGTTCAGACTTGATCAATCGTATTGTGACAGTCTCCACTTTTTTGAGCAGACGTTGGTGAGCTACATGTAGTGTCATTTTCGGAACACGATGAATGACATGAAAAGCATCTACGTGATACCCTGTGTCGACTAGATGAGCTAGGACTGAACTTTCCACCACTTTCACTTCACCCTTTCCGAACCAAGCTGGTGAATGCTGTCGTATCCGGAGACGCATCTGCCTAATCGTATGCCCTACTTAACTTGTTCTCCAGAAACAGTTAAATTGATGTATGTAAGATAGGTTAGACTATCTTTTAGTGTCGGACTGAGCATTAGCCGACTGCCGAACCGAATGCAACAGCAACCTGTATAAAACATCCTAATGACTGCCCTAGCTAGGGGTTGTGATAGAATGTCACTTGTAAATCACCCTTGAATCGTAAGCGCAGAAACAAAGGCTTCTTCTCCACTGTCATCAGCTCTTGTTTACGACCAATGTAGTTGATATTAGCTTTGATAAGCTTATCTGGATATCCGTTTCCACTTAGAATATCATGGATACACAGTAGTTCTTTTTCCATTCACTCCTTGGAACAAATCGATATTACTGTAAAAGCCAGGCACCTGATTATATTACGTTTGTACTTCATCGGTACAAAGCTGAGGAAGTGCGTATACTGTGTCTCAAACGTTAGTTTTCTATATATACTTCTCAGCATAGAGTTATCTTCATTTCTTGTCATCAGCACATTAAGAAAATGCATCGAATTATTGATTTCATTTTCGTACGTAAAATGTATTGATGAATGAGCGCTGTTGAAATAGTTCAGAATAGAATTCATACATATGCACCTACCAAAGACTAAAACAAAACATATATCAGGCACATATAAATCGTCAGAATAAAATTGAATATAAATAAGCGTAAATCTCAAGCTAGTGAACATCCACCAGTGTAACATATCTTCAACTTTTGAGGACTAAGTCATACTTCTGAACATTCGATTTATGTTATTCAGCTATATGTGCAATGACCCTCTTCTTTAGATATGAGAAAGCTACACATTTATCTATCTTTGACTTCAAAGCATGATAATCTGGGTTCACTATTCTAAAGTATCACTAAATGAAATCGAGATCTACAGCGTCTTGATAAAGACGTCAAACTATTCAACAATTGAACAGTATTGAAAATTAGTATTTTTAACGAGTACAGTTATCGACAATGGAGATTCTTGGTGAGATGGCTTAAAATCAGTCACAGTGATACAAATAGGCATACACTGTAATCTTCTACATTGCAAACGTTTTCATCGACTTGAATTAATTGCATAATGCTTGTATTACACCGTCGTTGATTCGACCGAATTGATCAGTCTCTGTTCGCATATGGGCTCCTGTGCGGATGCTTCAATATTGCCTCTCTTTCAATTATATATAGTAACGATGGACACTGACTAGCAGTGGAATCCAGGGTACACATTTCATCCTATACAAGCAATAACACCACC